GAATTTGAACACTATCCTCCCCCACGAAATAACGTTGAATCTTTATATCCCCAAATTATGAACAATGTGGCTTCGTTTAAAACATATTTTTTACATTGATTGGAGTATACATTGGAAGTGGATTTGTGATAAGGATTATCAGCAACTGATGTGAAATAATCTGAATTGTAATCAGAATGGAGCTCATTTAATACTCGTGCTTCGCATTGAACAAGCTTCTCACAAAAAATAAATTAATTATGGGGACAAATAATATTTGGTATGACATCAAAACTTGACTCTTCTGGAATAGTTTCCTCGAATTCATTAAGAATGTCATTGCTGATTAAACGATCATTAGAAAAATCAGCATCTATCAAAAATACATCAGGTTTTCGATCATAATTATGTTCACTAAACATATTTTCTTCAGATTTGTAAGAAATTTCATCAGAAATATATGAATCATTAGGAAAAGCCATATTTGGTACAATAACTAGAAATCTGATAAATCGATTGGTTAGAAACTGTTGTTTCGCAAGAATTCTGAATTTCATTTAACTCTGAACTACTTTGTGACTCTACATTGACTATTGCAATCGTTGATAAAGATAAATCATCATTATAAATACTCGACTCAGTAGAATCAGAATTACAAGTCTTAATATTAGTTGCAATAAGATGAACATTAGTATTACAGACTAACTGAATATGTCTAATATCACCACATTTAAAGCACTTAGAATTACGAAATTTACAAGAATTAAAAGAGTGGAACTTGCCATAGGACAAACACTGACCAAACTTGCGCCAATCTACGTGAAATGTATTGCAACTCCTCAATGAATTGTCTGCATATTCTTGAGTATGAACTGGGTTGGAATGACGTAATGTAGTAGAATTCTTTATATCCTCATGAATCATTTTACGAAATCTTCCTCCTTTACGACATTCGAGATTTGTATACTGAACATAGTCTAGCAGCAGTTCCTTGAGAGCTGTATAGGAAGCGAAATGGGCTTTTCCGGCATAGCCAGAGTTCTTAATAGGCTGTATGCTTCTTTTCCAATGAATGTGAGGAAGTGTGCCACAATATTACTATCCTCATCATCTTCCTTGGTCATAGCCCAGATTTCGAAACTTTCAAAGTAATCTTCAAAAGCTTCTGAAGTTGAATGAATATCTAACTTTTCCATTACAGGCTCCATCGCGACGCCAGTATAGTGTTTTGAATTATTTGAATCATAGCACGAACTAAGAGTCCCAGAAATAACGCAATTGAATTAAGAAGTGAGACACAAGCACAAACGAATGTATTGCATTTGGAATTCGAAATCAAGCATTCAACAAGTACAAAGGTATCATTAGTCCATTCAAACACAACAATATACCACTAATGTTTGGCGATCATCCATTTCGGTATGTCATAATATCGTAATATATGTCTTGATTCTCCAACTATATGTGATGCATAAAATATTTTACTGATGTTGATCAGTACGCACACTTAAGAAACTATATCCTGCTTCACTCAAAGATAATATCTAATTTTGTGTCACGTTCGTTATCTATAAACTCGGTGACCGAGGACAAATGAGTCGAGTAAGAATGGAATTCAGGTGTTCCTGAATACAAATTTAGTTTATTGACTTCATGTGATAGTTAAAAGATTTAAATTATTGTGCGTACTAGGAATCATTAAAGCAACGCTATTTAGTCAGAAATTTCTATATGAGCACAAACGGACGTATTGTATATAGAATTCTAACCACGCAGTACTCAAGTACAAAGAAATCATTAGTTCATACAAACACTACAGTTCACTAGGGTATACAATAATAATAAACGAACAAAGTATAATAGGAGTGAGTGAACACAACTAGACTGGAATGATGGCGGTATTGTAATAATAAAACAGTAAGACCTTGTGATTGGATTGAATTTATATTGTAACTGTTAGATTTAATCACTTATCTTTGTGTTGTATTGAAACATACTCAGTAAAATGTTAGACTGGTCTAATCCGCAATGTTATGAGAGCAATTCGAACTGTTCAGTGTCGTTTAGCCAGCATGTCTCAAGATTTATCTATTAATATAATGGTGGAATGTAACTAACGGATGAATGGATGGATAGACAGGTGACTAAGTAAAAATGTACTGAGAGGGTTTACGTATAAGTCATTGGAATTCACCAGGCAACTCAGCAAAGTTTGAATCAAACCATATATATTCTCAAAAGCCTTCCTCTGAATCTTTTCAAATTTCCCATAATACTTCTGAATCGAATGCCTCTGAAGTGCCATCTCATAATGATTTCAAGTCAAATACTTTCAAGAAAAAATACTCTCATAAGATTTGAAAGTCTCATTCATTTTGTCCTAATTATTTTATTATTTTTATTATTATTAATGGCTTTATTCAATATTGGTATTTCGATACCAAAGTTCACTGTTTCCTCTAAAATACCAACCGTAACTCATGTAAATTGTCTTCGACAAATGCATCCAGCTGTATTTTAGAACAAAGTGGGTTGCCGTAAGTTCACTAAAGTATTTTTGCCATTAAAACAAAACTCAAAGCCCGTCTTCAGATAAAAACGACCAATTTCTTATAGTGCTCTCTCGTTTGTCCGTCAAGAACTTGACAGACTGGAAACACTAAGTGTCAATCAGTCAGCAAATTATTCACCGTGAGCTACTGTCGTAGCAGTTGTACGGTATGCAAAAGGGTCTGTTGCGGGGCGTCGAGTCGCGGTTGACTATGATCACCACTACACGAAGACTACGTGCCAGTTAACCGATAAGATCCATCGTAAGCCAAATATTAGAAGGCAGTTGATGGCTGTAATCGAGATGTATTTGTTGGTGATCTCGTGGTATCGAAAGGATATCGAGATCGTGCCGGGTTACATGTGTGGTTACTGAGTGTAACCGAATTTGCGCAAGGTTACAATCAATGGAAGAATGTATATTCTTAGTACAATTAAACAAACATGTACAGTAAAATAGTCACTGGTACGATTGGTTATAATAATAATTGTTTCCATTAAACCAATAGCGTTCTCTTGATAAAAGTAGGTCACTACAGGTCTGTCGATATATCTGGTTTAGGTGCAAAAATTCTTTTAGTTCATGTTCAGTGCTATAGTGAGATATCAGTGGGAGCTTCATTTCAAAAGCTTTGGAGAAAGAATTTAGAATTGGCTACTACATAAGGGAGGATCAGACAAAACTGATTGCCATCAAAAAGAAAAAGTCTATTATAACACATAGGCTTTAAGACTGGATGAATTGTCTCATTATATCGTGATTGATTCATCATTTCGCAAGTGTAGAAATATCCATTTGAAAGAGTAGTTAAAGCGACCAATTGTGTGCTTGAATCACCTTAGCATCAATTAGCAACAAATGCTCTGAATATTTTTTCTGATTTTATTACCCTGTAACCTGAATCTTGACACTAGAGTTGTTTATCATTCTTCTAATTGGTTAATAAATTACTTTGTATTTTGCTTACATTATATTATCGCTCTCATATTTTTAATCATTCCTTCGTAACCATATGACACTTTGTTTAACCAAAATATAAACTTCATATGGACATCACTTGATGGACGTATGTGTTATCAGATTGTTCTACGTTATAGATCCTGTACACCTTTAACAACACTTGGTGTATCTATAAAAATAATTTTCCAAATTCATAAACACAACTTGATGTGGCTTAATGTTGGTACTGATCTACTTAGTCAAGTTATGTATCATGATCAGTTTGTTTCCAAGAAAACTCCGATCTCATCACCGTACTTATTCTTTTGTCAGTCATTCATGAAATGTCATCACGTTAGACTGGGGGACTTGTGAAAACATGTTTTGTGTGGACTGTTAACTATTGATGACTTTTGGAATAACGCATTCCTGAATGCAACAAATCTCTTCAGGGATCTGCGTTCTAGTAAAGCGATTCATCGTTAGAATCTTTTCAATTATGCGGTCGTTTGACTCCAATATCCCATACTTAAATCGTTTGAATGAACGTATGATTGAATTATTCTGTCGATATGTTTGTAAATAATGAAAATATGGAGAATGCCTGAATATATTTGAAAATATTTGAAGAAAACAAAATTAATATCCGAAGTTGTTATTTGTTTTATCTGTTGTTAAAGTCGTCCGAAAGTGTGCATAACTATCTAGTCAACCTAGACTAATATGTCTGCATCGTAGGAATTATGAAACTCAATGGATGACTGAGTGTACGGATATAAGAAGGATGAATGACAAGAGATGAGTGTGGACATACGGTTACCGGGTCGTAGCAATTTGGCTAAGTGACAAATTTTCCCAATTTACTCAGTCTATGAACAAACGAAACTACGTAAACACTAGATCCATATTCGGGAAATTCTGAAGTATATTTGGGAATACTGGGATATTCCCATATTTCGACATCTGTCTACTCGACATGCCAATTATTCCATCATATTTATCAGATAAGTAATCGAGATTAAATATACTCCTCACTTCAGCAAACGCTTGATTCCGAATCTCCAACGAGTTTATCTATAACAGTATTTTATTTCGAAACATTCGCAATTCTTACTCGTATAGTGTCCACACTCCAAAATCCAGAGTACACACTGTCTAAATAATGGACATTATAAATGGAACCGTTTGGTCTGTAAGTGGATGATTTTGAGCTGTCGTAAAATGAAAACATCCAACAAAATATATCAAGAAACCAACACTTCCTTGAAGCTAACCATGTGTCAGTGGATCCTGTATCGAACAATACTCGTATAGTTTGAGTTGGAGATCACACTGATACATTATCGTAATTTTGATACACAATAGAAGCTGTTCCCATCATACAATGATTCACAGAATAAAAGTGTGTTTCCTTAGTAATTCAAACCATTTTCTTGGTGATAGTGACGCACATTAAACAAGTATCGAATTACCACTAGTAATCAGGTTTGTTTATAATCAATCTTCTAGTTAATTTGACACACCTTTGTCAATAAAACATGATGAAAACAAAATAAAAGTGACATAAACATCACTACGTTTCAGCGTACTCAAACCGATTTCAATGATTCTATTCATAATTGTCGGTTTCCTACCATATTTACTTGGTGAGATTGTGAGAATTCCTCTCCACCCTTTGAAAAGATCTGATTCATTGGTGGGACTTGGTGCGACTTACTTTAAGCCTTCGACGAGAAAATGGAAGTATGAATGGAATAAGCAGAATACATCTACACCGGAACAATTGATTAATTATGAAAACGTAAGTGTATCAATCATGTTCATAGTATGAAATCCAACTTAATGTATGTCTAATAAGCAACACGAAATATGACGACTTCTCTTCTTGTGTGTGAAATAAACTCAGTGGATTATTTTCCAAAAGTAACCACGATGACACAGCGACGTAGAAGTGTAAGTTATGGTGTTTAACTGTTGAAGTATGCCTGTGAAAATCGATACAACGGAATATTGCTCATTGATATAGTTCTCAACAGGCAAAGTATCATAGATTCATTGGAAAATCCGGCAATTTAATCACCGATACAAATAACAAAATATCATGACCAGAAGTGCATATTATCTCAAAGTTATTTCAAATTAAAAGAATTTTTTAAAGTATAGAAGAATAATTATTATTTGCATATCACACTGTCTAAATGTTGAATGCGAAATAATCTTTTAATTTAGCTTCAGTATTATGGTGAGATATCAGTGGGAACTCCACCTCAAAAGTTACGAGTATTGTTTGATACAGGATCCACTGACACATGGTTAGCTTCAAGGAAGTGTTGGTTTCTTGATATATTTTGTTGGATGTTTTCATTTTACGACAGCTCAAAATCATCCACTTACAGACCAAACGGTTCCATTTATAATGTCCATTATTTAGACAGTGTGTACTCTGGATTTTGGAGTGTGGACACTATACGAGTAAGAATTGCGAATGTTTCGAAATAAAATACTGTTATAGATAAACTCGTTGGAGATTCGGAATCAAGCGTTTGCTGAAGTGAGGAGTATATTTAATCTCGATTACTTATCTGATAAATATGATGGAATAATTGGCATGTCGAGTAGACAGATGTCGAAATATGGGAATATCCCAGTATTCCCAAATATACTTCAGAATTTCCCGAATATGGACCCAATATTTTCATTTTATTTAAGTCAGTGAGTTGTGCGATAATTCGAGTTAGATTCGTATATATGAAATTCAGATTTTGTATAATTTAATCATTCGGTTTTGAATATCACTAAACTGAGAAAAGCTTAATTATAATCTTTTTCATTTGATATTTGGTTGACAACGGTTGATCTCAGTAACTGCATTTGCAACCAGTCAATATGTTTGAAATACAAGTAGTTCAAGGTTTTTAAGGTAACCAAGTTGTTCTGAAGATATATTTCGTGAAAGTTATCTGAGATGATGGATGTTGTTTAGAAGCGATCAAATGAAAACATTGAGACACCACAGCCTTACTCTGTTCGAATTTTAATTACATCAGTTTTAATTGTTGTCATGAAAACATACAAATTCGTCTTGTGTGTACTGTTAGTTATTTGATGGTGAAGTTTCAATTAATGTGCTTAACATGTTGACTGTAGGTTTATATTTCCACATTAGGTTACGATTTACCAAAAGAAGTGTGACTAATGTCAGTGATAACATCAAATTATAATGTCTCGGCTCACTTAACAATGATTCTAATGCAAAAGTGGATTGATGTATTTAGACGAGCGATTGACAAAATATACCTTCCCATGGACGATAGAAGTATTGTATTTGTCGACTGTACATTTAATTGTGACTAGAATTCTTTCATTTGATTTTTATCTCGTCAATATCTTTTCACATCATCATATTTTATGCATCCGTATGAGTACATTTTATGTTGTTAATCGTTTTGTTCCAGTTTTATTTGAAATTTATCTTTGAAAAAAAATTATTCAGTCTTCATTGATCTTCTCATAAATAATGCACGAGTGCATCCGAAGTTTACAACACTAATTTCTTAGTTTTTATGAAAATGTACATTCTGTGAATTTTTTTGAAAGAAGCTATGTTGATCGAATCTGTGAATGTTAAACAAGGACATTTCATAAATACTATTCAATATTTTATGGTTTAATGAACTTCTATTTCAGACATTCATTGTTTTAACTCAAAATGATCGGTAATAATGCTTGTCAGGTATCATGTTTGTGTATTCATCAACAAGTACTCCTATTTCTTTCTGTGTTTGTGTTTTACTTAGTGAATTTTGTTACCCTTTACATGGATAGTGTTAATCGACACTATAAAATGAGTATAATTAACATGCCGAACAGTCATGAAACAGGGTGATTATACACTTTGACTTATTCACGTATCAGGTGATACCGTGACAACATTGTTGATTTCAGTTGGTGTGACGTTTTATAGTAATATATTTTTACAGTGGAAATAATATGAATGATAATAAAATGGATTTATTACTTCGTTGTAGGGAAAACGGGACTTCGTTCGGTGGTGAAATGGTACTTGGTGGTGTTAATCCTGAATATTTTGAGGGAGATTTGGAATATATGCCGACCGTAAACAACAATATATGGGCAGTTAGAATGTCAAGGTAGTGTTTGATCAAGTTCAGTAAGATATGTACATCTCAATCGCTTTCGGAAAGTGCAAATTAACTTGTTGGAAAGTTTGTTTGGTGGAGTGAAGTTATATATTGTTTTATTTGTCTAAATGAGGTGAAGCCGGAAAATTGATATTATTTGAACTGTTTTACGTATTTGCATAACTGAAGAACATTCGATTTCGAAACCCTTGAGAGATTTTTTCTAGATGGACAATGTATATATATATATATATATATATATATATATATATATATATATATATATATATTTGAATATTGATTTACGAGAAGTGTTTAAAGCAGAGCTAACCTCGTGACTAGGTCTCCATGGTCTAGTACTGTAAGATAAAATTCATGTTTCTTATTGACTACGCTCATGATGAACGTAGTGCGTGGTCTGAGTATTTGGGAGTTAATGTAAATCAACGGGCTTGTTCATTAACCTATTAAAATAAATCAACATAATTTCTCTTGGTAATGTGTGAAAGGAGAATAGATCACGTTCATCAAGCTTTATAAAACGAATGCCGCAAGATGTGACTTGACATCGAATTGGCTAATTTTTCTGAAGTTACTATAGAGGATTTCTGTGGTGATCCATGTAGGAAGGTGAACTTCTGAAATCTAGAGAGACTTCCTTTCCTCACCAACTCGAACACACATCAGTCAAATACACTGAGCAATCAAGTGATCACTTTCTATTCACCCATCATATATCCAACTGAGTTATTAGTCTGAACAGTGCTTCATATTACGGTTACCATTATACTTGTTGACAAGTTGCAATACCTATTTGCGACACAACTTCAGTTATTTGGCAAGCTCACAGGTAAACCTGTTTCAAACGATACTGTGTGAAGTGTTGCCGACTTCTTACTTGAAATGAAAGAACACGGTCACCTTAAAAGTGAAATGAATGTGCTCAATCTGTCAGTGAGTTCAAACTAGGACGATAATACTGCAGTTCATTACGCTAGCTACATGAAAGTATTATAATTGGAGATATAATTATTAAGTGAAGATGACTGTTGGATGAATGATACACTGAATGGTTTATAAATAAGTCTGTTCATGATCTAGTCTGGTGTTTCACAAGAGAATTTACAAAGCGGTTACATTTATTCAACTTATCTACTATTTGTATTTTGCCCCTTTCATATTTCTTCTTATTTACAACTGTTATTTTGCAGCTACATTAGGTAACGTTATTTGCTTCTGGAATGATTTGTGCTTGTTTGTCAACTCACCCTCGATGTAGTTCATGTATATCGCTAGAATATCACATTTGAAGTGTGATTTTGCTCAGAATTTCTAACAAGTTAACAAGTATTTATGATTTTCATGCAAAAAATTGCTAGGGTTGATTACGTTTTTAAACTGTCAATTCAGTTCTTCCTATATCCATTATTGTTCCTTAGTTATGTTATTGTGTATTAGTAAGTAGTTCATGTTATCAACGGACATTTTTGAACGTGTTTCTCATAGAGTCGGTTTATTGGTTCGTGAGATATACCTAAATATTTACAGGTGCGCTAGGCATTTCATCCATTTTATTGCTGTAATTGTATTTCTCCACAATTCTCAAGTAATTTTATTTATTTCACGTGTAGCTCGATGTAATTTAATTTATTTGCAACAACTTCCAAATTTAGCGTTGACTGGCTGTCGGTTAATTTTTCGACGAATGACGTTATTCGGGTTTGTCAAAGGTCATTGATTCTACCTAGTTGGTCATTTATTATGCATAATGTTTCTTGTTTGGGCGTTCAGAGGACTCAACTTAACGTTGATTGTGGTATGAGCGGCTACTCATACCTTGAAGTCCTCACGATTTGACGTTTATAATTACTACTGTTCATGTCGTCTTGCCATTATTAGTAACGTATTTAACAGATAAATGTCTTGTTTTGGTTTTGGCATTTCATACGTGACTCACTTGTTTGGTGAGAAATCAACAGTTACACTGCCTTGAATGCGGATGTCATTAAGAATATTAACACCAACAAATAGACGCATTCGTTCAACGAACTGTATCAAGAATGAAATGTATGATCATTATAAGTCGCTAAACAAAGTTGATTTAAAAAGTGTTTCAATAACCTGACTCAGTGTTCGTTTTTCAAAATAAACTGCTTTTGTTTATTTTTTTGGCTAGCTCTACATCTTGCTTTTTTAAAAATGTTTTGATGTACATTCAGCTTGATGATAAATGATATTGAGTTTTGCAATGGATGTACTGCTTCTATTGATACTGGGACATCAACGATTATTGGTGGAAGAGAGCAAGTGACAAGAATCAACACAATGCTTGGTATTTCCTATCAATTTGGTAGAAGAAATTTCCTTGACTGTAAACGAATCGACATGCTGCCTCCTGTCGAATTTATCTTTCGTAAAAAGAAGTACATATTGGAACCACAAGATTATGTTATTAAGGTGAATGACTTCTTTAGATCAGTTTAGTTATATATTGTGTATTCAGTGTGTTCACTTTCGCAATTTTAAGTCAGTTCAACGGAAATAAAACTTGCAAAATACAGAGTAATATAATGACTTTAGTTAATCTTATTGTGTAATTCCAGTTATTTAGACGGTGCAACAGATGAATCAGAACCACAAATTCCCTTTAGAATGCACACATGTTGGAGGTTTCAACAATAATATCATTGTTAACAACGTGTATAATGTCTTCTGTACTAACAAACAATTCTTGTACAATATAAAATTTACTAGTCGAACCGCTTCTCCTAAATTCGAGCTGAATCCATGTGTATAGATTCAATTATTCTGATAGCGAATGATCACCAGATATTTGAAATTTATTAACTGATAAGGACAGTTAATTATCGGATTAAAATGAAGCTGGTAAAGTTAGCTTTCAGTGTATAATGTATTAATAGAAGTTGTAATTGACAAGGCAGTAAGAGAGAGTTTACTACTTAATAACAGTTTCCTTTCTTTGCAATGGGAAATGCAAAACTGTTTACTAATCGAAATACTTTCCTAGGTTTATAATTGATCCTAGAAAATTTCACTAAAAGCGAAGTTTAAACTGATATTTAAATAATTCATTATGAACTACTGTTGTGGTAGAAAATATGAACTACACACTTTCACACTCACAGATAACTTATACCATTCTATAAATGTGAAAGCAAATAACAGAAGAGAATAATAAGCATCTAGTCTTTAATCCGTTTTAAAAATACTATTTTAACTGATAAGAACAAAACAATTTACTTCTGTATTGTTGTCTTCCTCATTTGATTACAGGAGGACTTTTGGTTTCAAACAGTGTGTTCGTCACCTTTTGACATTGATGATTCTGTACCACCGAATTTTTGGATTCTCGGTGACGTTTTTATGAGAAGATTCTATACTGTATTCGATTTCGGTCAGAAACGTATTGGATTAACTTATGTTTTAAATAAGAAGAATGAAACAAGAATTTAATTAAACAGTAATATGTTGCTAAAATATAGAAATTACAATTGTGTGTTCAACAGTGAATGAAATATAAATACAAAATTTATAGCAAATTTGAATTCAAAAAATTATTAAGAGATTCCTCATACTGAGAATTTTTCGTAGTATCTGTCTTTTAATTCTGTTAATTATTTTGCATTTCGAATATGTGTTTTTATTAGTGTACTGTCAATGTGTTTTCTTGTTTATCACTTACGTATTGAACGTCTGCCTGAATTACATACGAGAATAAATAAAGATTTGTGCCCCGATTTGGCTCTTGTGCCAATCCCTGTTTCATTTGTATGTATATCCGCTTACTCTGTTTACTAACACCACTGAATTTTGTATTGGAATCCTTACGTAACGTGAATATTGTGTTTAATAAACAAGTGGTTACACTGTACACTGTATACGAACGAATTTCAACAAAGTTATGCCTTTCAAATTTATTATTACGGTGTATTGGAATGTACATATCCACAACGTAAGCGCGAAACCCACATTTGCATCCCATATACAAATAATAACTGTTTTATTAATTGTAGTGCTTTTAAAAGTTATGGTACAGTGAAAGAGCTAGTTCTTTGAAAAACATCTAGAATGAATTTCATTCTTACCTTCTAATAGGTGTGGTCCATTATCGTAATCCTCTTCTTTTCCTTCATACATTGCAGTAGAGGAATATTATACGTACGGTAAAGGAAAGTGATAGGTTGGGACGGTATTGAATCTGCATTTTCACATGAAAATTGACTGAATCGCCCAAATAACCATGAAAAACAAACAGCGTTACTGTACGATCAGACTCTAAAGATACGTTAACGAAGACAAACGAATTCATCTGATCAGTAGACTATGCAGCTTGAAGAAGTGAATCATGTTAACGAACCCCTTGAAGCGAGTTAAGGAAGATGTTTTGCACCTTAAAACTCAACCTATTAGTGTTATTTTCATGATCATTTTCACATTCGACTTCACAATTTTCTGTTTGTTCCCATATATCTAGATATTCTCTAGGATGAGAAGTAGAGCATTCATAAACCACTTGACACGTTTTTGTCTGCCGAATAATATAGACGGTAACAATGATTCTAATAATAGATTAGAAACATAATGTCATATCTCATTATCTGAAGTGCGAACCTCTATTAATTGTCGAAATATTCAACTAGCATCATTACAAAATCGAAACCAAACTGAGTAAAATCTGTAAGGAATTAGAATTCTCGTTTAGGGTCATGGTATTTTCTAGAATATTTTTTTTCACATGGTCATCTACAGTTTACTTCAAGGTTTTTGCTTTGAAATCAAATGACTAAATATTACAAAGGATTAATTAGCACATGCTAATACACAAAATAAGACTTTATACTCAACAAAACATCCGGCACCTTGCCCATGTAACTTTCACTCAATCATGGTTGATATTTATAGTAAAGTGTCTATTACCTCAAAGGAAAAAATTTGTCATTATTATATAGTAATGCTAATTTACCATCAATACTTAAATCACCTACTAGTATTGGTGGCCATTCACCTTCAATGATCGGTCTAATTGAAGATGCCGGTGATAGTGGTCAATCTCAAATGGGTGGAATGCAGTTTGACTGATGTACGTTCGAACGATTGAATGCAAGCTAACCGGAAATGTAATGTTAGGGCTAGGAGGCATTTTTCAGCAAATTTATAAGAATTTTCTATTGAACAACTGTCATTTTCATGAAATGATAAGACGCACAATGGAAATGATTACTCTGAAATTCAAGAAGTAAGTAAAACAAACCATTCATACAAGATAAACAAGAATCAGATTACCACAAATAAACAACTTAATTTGCAATATATTGATCAGGTTGGTTGAAGATGTTTGTGTCAATAATAGCATGATGAAATAAAACCAGAGTAACACGAACACCATTATCTATCAGAATATGAATGGGAATTTAGTTACTTACTTACTTACTTACGCCTGTTACTCCTCGTGAAGGAGCATAGGCCGCTCACCAGCATTCTCCATCCAACCCTGTCCTGGGCAATCCTTTCTAGCTCCGTCCAGTTGTAATTCATCGTTTTCATATCTGCTTCTATTATCCGACGCAATGTGTTCTTTGGCCTTCCTCTTTTTCGCTTCCCTTCAGGATTCCAAGTTAGGGCTTGCCTCGTGATGCAGTTTGACGATTTGCGTAATGTATGTACTATCCATTTCCATCGTCTTTTCCTAATTTCTTCTTCAGCTGGAAGTTGGTTTGTTCTCTCCCACAGAAGGCTATTGCTGATGGTATCCGGCCAATGGATGTTGAGTATCTTGCGAAGACAGCTATTTATAAATACTTGTACTTTCTTGATTGTGGTTGTTGTAGTTCTCCAAGTTTCAGCTCCATACAGTAGAACTGCCTTGACGATGTAAAGACGCGCTTCACGATTTGGAGTTCACAAAAGTTATTTTATGTCTTCGACGAGAAATCGAGGGGATGACTGGAAGCATAAAGAATATCAAAATCGAAACCACTCGTTAATTTTAGAAATGTACGTGTTACAGTCAGATTGTTAGTCTCAAACTTTCTTTCCTTCAAGTAATGTGCGTTGATCTCATACTAAGTAGATGCCACTCGTTAATATGTGCATGAAATAGACTAAGTGAATGTTTCCCACAGATGTAACTATGACACAGTGATTGTGTAGTAGAGGTAGTGATGATTGAATTGATAATATCTGTTTAATGATATGAGTAGGATAGAATATATTTTACTCGCTTCCCACCAACTGAAATTCTGCCACACACTGGTGAAGTTTGTAGATATTAAAATCAGTTATGGAAATAAAAACATATTCCGATCAACTATGATTCGTAACGGAGGAATAACTTCATATCTAGCGTTAGATAACAAAAACAAATCGACTGCTCTGACACTATGTCACACTATCTGATGTTCGTGCTTCAATTATCGTTATGTTAAGATTTAGTATTATGGTGAGATATCAGTGGGAACTCCACCTCAAACTGTACGAGTATTGTTCGATACAGGATCCACTGACACAAGGTTAGCTTCAAGGAAGTGTTGGTTTCTTGATATATTTTGTTGGATGTTATCGTTTTACGATAGCTCGAAATCGTCGACATATGTAGCAGATGGTTGGAATTTTCATGTCAGTCATCTGGACAGTGATTTCAATGTATTATGCAGTGTAGACACTATAAATTTCTTCAGGGATCTGAGTTCTAGTAAAGCGATTCATCGTTAGAATCTTTTCAATTATGCGGTCGTTTGACTCCAATATCCCATACTTAAATCGTTTGAATGAACGTATGATTGAATTATTCTGTCGATATGTTTGCAAATAATGAAAATATGGAGAATGCCTGAATATATTTGAAAATATTTGAAGAAAACAAAATTAATATCCGAAGTTGTTATTTGTTTTATCTGTTGTTAAAGTCGTCCGAAAGTGTGCATAACTATCTAGTCAACCTAGACTAATATGTCTGCATCGTAGGAATTATGAAACTCAATGGATGACTGAGTGTACGGATATAAGAAGGATGAATGACAAGAGATGAGTGTGGACATACGGTTACCGGGTCGTAGCAATTTGGCTAAGTGACAAATTTTCCCAATTTACTCAGTCTATGAACAAACGAAACTACGTAAACACTAGATCCATATTCGGGAAATTCTGAAGTATATTTGGGAATACTGGGATATTCCCATATTTCGACATCTGTCTACTCGACATGCCAATTATTCCATCATATTTATCAGATAAGTAATCGAGATTAAATATACTCCTCACTTCAGCAAACGCTTGATTCCGAATCTCCAACGAGTTTATCTATAACGATATTTTATTTCGAAACATTCGCAATTCTTACTCGTATAGTGTCCACACTCCAAAATCCAGAGTACACACTGTCTAAATAATGGACATTATAAATGGAACCGTTTGGTCTGTAAGTGGATGATTTTGAGCTGTCGTAAAATGAAAACATCCAACAAAATATATCAAGAAACCAACACTTCCTTGAAGCTAACCATGTGTCAGTGGATCCTGTATCGAACAATACTCGTACAGTTTGAGTTGGAGATCACACTGATACATTATCGTAATTTTGATACACAATAGAAGCTGTTCCCATCATACAATGATTCACAGAATAAAAGTGTGTTTCCTTAGTAATTCAAACCATTTTCTTGGTGATAGTGACGCACATTAAACAAGTATCGAATTACCACTAGTAATCAGGTTTGTTTATAATCAATCTTCTAGTTAATTTGACACACCTTTGTCAATAAAACATGATGAAAACAAAATAAAAGTGACATAAACATCACTACGTTTCAGCGTACTCAAACCGATTTCAATGATTCTATTCATAATTGTCGGTTTCCTACCATATTTACTTGGTGAGATTGTGAGAATTCCTCTCCACCCTTTGAAAAGATCTGATTCATTGGTGGGACTTGGTGCGACTTACTTTAAGCCTTCGACGAGAAAATGGAAGTATGAATGGAATAAGCAGAATACATCTACACCGGAACAATTGATTAATTATGAAAACGTAAGTGTATCAATCATGTTCATAGTATGAAATCCAACTTAATGTATGTCTAATAAGCAACACGAAATATGACGACTTCTCTTCTTGTGTGTGAAATAAACTCAGTGGATTATTTTCCAAAAGTAACCACGATGACACAGCGACGTAGAAGTGTAAGTTATGGTGTTTAACTGTTGAAGTATGCCTGTGAAAATCGATACAACGGAATATTGCTCATTGATATAGTTCTCAACAGGCAAAGTATCATAGATTCATTGGAAAATCCGGCAATTTAATCACCGATACAAATAACAAAATATCATGACCAGAAGTGCATATTATCTCAAAGTTATTTCAAATTAAAAGAATTTTTTAAAGTATAGAAGAATAATTATTATTTGCATATCACACTGTCTAAATGTTGAATGCGAAATAATCTTTTAATTTAGCTTCAGTATTATGGTGAGATATCAGTGGGAACTCCACCTCAAAAGTTACGAGTATTGTTTGATACAGGATCCACTGACACATGGTTAGCTTCAAGGAAGTGTTGGTTTCTTGATATATTTTGTTGGATGTTTTCATTTTACGACAACTCGAAATCGTCGACATATGTAGCAGATGGTTCCAGTTTTCATGTCAAATATCTGGATGGTGAGTTCTCTGGATTTTGGAGTGTGGACACTATACGAGTAAGAATTGCGAATGTTTCGAAATAAAATATCGTTATAGATAAACTCGTTGGAGATTCGGAATCAAGCGTTTGCTGAAGTGAGGAGTATATTTAATCTCGATTACTTATCTGATAAATATGATGGAATAATTGGCATGTCGAGTAGACGGATATCGGAAGATGGAAACCTTCCAATGTTTCCGAATATACTAGCTAATGGTGTGAATATGGACCCAATATTTTCATTTTATTTAAGTCGGTGAGTTTATAATACAAATTGTGTGATATTTGTTTTATACATCTTTGTATGTGATTCATTTTCTTAGTTATTAAATCTGTTGTTCACAGTAGCCTATTTAATATACATTTGCTATGAGATTATTATCTAAAGCAATATTTAAAGTATATATATCAGATTCTGGGATGTATTCGAAGTTAACTCTTGCACAACAATTATTATTTTTAAGCTTATATAGTTGAATTTCATGAGACGTGTATGTATGAATTGATAGCTCGATATTGTTGATCATCTCCATCTTATTTCTACACTTAGTGTACTTTTTAAAACGGATCTTATGAGAAGTTTCTTCGGAGAAAGAGAGATATACCACCAACAACTTATTCATACATTGATCAGGTTTTAAGTAATTCATGGCAATGGCCGCTAGAATTTGAAATGAAACAGAAGTTTATTGTTTAGTAATTTATCATTATGTGCCTTAGATCTTAAATACATGTGAAATATTCTCTAAGTATCCGACGACTGTGTTAATGAATAAATACTTCCTTTCAAAACAGTATTCAGAGAACTTAATATAAATTCACTTTATATGTTTACCTCATACGCATATGTATGTTCATAAATAGAATTAGATAATTAAGAAAAGTAGTGACGTATTTATCTATCTTATACATCTCAAACGACTCAGATACCAAACAGATCTTATTTTAGTACTGTTCAATTTTTCTGTTAGTTTTTCATAAATTGTCATTAGCCTAAAATGTAGATGTCCAAAACATAAAAAGGCATGGTAAACACAAATAATATTTAACTATTAAGTGATCCACTGAAATTCAGTTATAAAGAAGATCATCTTCTGAAATAGTAGAAACTTAATTGTGTAGATAAAGTTAAAACGGCTAACAATGTTACTAGTTCTCGGAAACTTGTGAAATGTAAACCACACGAACATAATAGATTTTCTGCAAGTTTTATAATTGATTCGATTTATGGATAACTAGATTCCCAGTGTTTGATAATAAAGCACAGTGAACTGCAGTTTTTAATGTTCTATGTATTTCCTTTACTTCTGATTTTTTAGTTTCCACCACTTATAGCAGGTTAAGCAATGAAAGTATGTCAAACATTTGTTTTGTAAAGAAACATTGTTTCGTAAACCTAGAGATGTTTGTAATTGACGCAATGCACAGCATTAATATTTACTTAAATCACTTAATCCGTTTTTATAGTATAACGAAAACACGAAGTTGATCTGAGAAAATGTAATGTATTTCCACAAAAGCATTTCAGACTTGTCAAGGCATTTTATTCGAAAATTGACAATGGTCAATTAAATGAAAGTTCAAATAAACTAAGTGATAATTGTAAATAAAAGAGAGAGAAAAGTAAGAGGCAACGAATAGGAAATCTAATAGTTGAATTCATAAGTCGATTAGAGCTAGACAACCATGGAAAACCTGGAAGCACTGGACATCCGTTTTGTCCTAGTACGGGACTCCTCAGCAATGCTCACTCACGACCCAGCTCGCGGGATTAGAAAGCAGGACCTATCGGTCTCACGCGTGAACGTTTAACCTCTAGACCACTGCGTCGATTACTCTTGCCTAAGTGTATGTATTCATAAAAACGTGTAAATTGGTAAATCCAATGGGATCCGGAGTAATTTGTCATGCAATGTCTAGATCTATCTCAAATCATTTGCTTAGTCCGTTTAACCAAAACCAGTTTAGCAGAGTAAAATGTTTTTTCGATAACCGAATTCAGTCTCTGTCTCCGGATAACACTGTTAGATTCTCCTCTAAAAGGAAAAAAGAGATATAAAACACTTTCTTCGCAGCAAGATTAAAGGGAAGCTTTGTTGTTGAATGACTTTTGCATTTATTTGTAAACTTGAATGGATAATCGTTTGATATAAGTATATCTGTCTGGAATTTTGCATCTTCTTCAAATAAATCTGTAGTACGGATTCTTGATTTTTATTAAGGATGCACTTACCAAACCCCGCTTGGATTGAGAAGGCCAGAAACTGTGGAAATTAAAATTTTGACCCGTTCGCGTTGGCATTCTATAAAGCTACCGCTTTATGGTTCAATCCTCCCTTCGACTCAAGAGTATATCTAAAAGGAGCAATTAATTATTACTTTCTTCCTCATAGATCATTACGATATTACTCTGTACGCCATTGAGTTTATCTTCATCACATATGATTAATACATCATTCATGTATCACCTATACGGTGTTATCTCTCTGATGAGCTCACTTATGATATTTTCAACATATAACATAAATACATCAGCAAAGAGATGTCCCGACGGGCTACACATAACAACACCATCAACTTGCCGAAAATGTTCACCTTCAAACGTGGATTAAACTTTCGGAACAAATAATAAAACTAGTTGTTTCAATTGTTGATGAAATAGGAAAAAGGGGGAAATTACTCCATACATGGTCACAAAAGAAATAACATTCTTAGTTTGAGGTACATTCGTAAAAAGCGTGTTTATGTCAAAAGAATGCACAGTTTTTTCTTTAATATTAATGCCATCGGAAAGATCAGTTAGTTCACGGATCGAGTTTAGCAATTTGATCACCATTTTGCCAGTATATTTGTAAGTGAACAACGTAGTGTCAATATCGGTCGTAATGGATTATTAAGTTTATGAATTTTATGTAATCCATATAAATTCGAGAGTATGAAACAGGTAGGCTTCAGTAAATTGAATTCCACTTTGTTCAGTTTAAGGAGCTTCATTAGATTGTAATTTACTCTGGATGTCAATAATCTAGCACTAATATTAGATGAAACATCCACCAGGAACTCATCAAGTATAGATAACATTTTTACCCCACAGTCACATTTATTCATAACAACCACGCCAAAACACTTGTCACGTTCAAAGACCACATTATCTGGTCCAGCACAAGTCAAAATATACCTGTGTCTGATTTGCGAACCATGGAATTGGTTGGGAACCATAAAGTCCAAAGGAACATAGAGATTTTCTATTTGAGTATTGATCGAAAAATTAGAAATTTTAACATGGGTAAATGAGATGTAAATTCTGGGAGATAGAGCTGTTTTCTCAAATAAAAGTGACATCAATACAGCTTTTAAAACGTTGTTTAGAAAATGTCAAGGACAAATTCTTAAGTTTATAGAAGCCAAGACGATTCGTAAATTAAAAACTCCCTTATATGTACAGAAACAATTTGTAGTGACCTTAAATTTGTCCTAGTAATCCTTAAATCATTTTATGGCCCATGATTATGTGACGATATCCTATTCGTTCCATACTATGTTAATTTTCTCTCTCTTTTATTTACAATTATCACTTAGTTTGAAGACTTTGGCGGAAATACATCACATTTTTTCAGGTCAACTCAATTTTGTCATCGTGTAAATGTATTTTACATCGCAAATGATGTAGATTTTATTTTATATAAAGCATATGCATTAAAGACAATGAACTACTAAATTATTTGTCACATAGACATTTACACAACGACATGATCATATACTGTGATTGGTTCTTACATCAGGTAAGATCGCGTCCAAACGACTAACTAGAGTTTATTCTATTAACCTTGTCTTTCAGTGTATTACGTTAGAAAAATTATCAATAATTAGACACAGATTCCTTATTTGTTGATAGGGAAAACGGTGAAGGAATCGGTGGTGAATTGGTACTTGGTGGTGTAAATCCTAAATATTTCAAGGGTGATTTTGAATATGTACCTACTATTCACAATCATATGTGGGCGATTCAAATGTTAAGGTAGTCGATTTTCACGCAATTTTAATTTGATGATCATGATATTTTCTTAACATCAATAGGAATTTGAGAGAACACAGATTGGCACTTTACTCAGTTACTTACATCTGTTACCCTTCGTGGGTCATAGACAGCCGATCAGAATTCTCCAAGCAACCCTTTATTTAGCTGTCCTTTTTAGTTATTTCCACTTGCCATTCCTTCTTTAGATGTCTGCATCCAATTTCGTATGCAATGTGTTGTTTGGTCTACCTCAAGCAGAAGTGTTTAAGTTGATCCCAGTTTGATTATCACTAACCACTTTGTCAGATTGGGATTGGAAAAATATCCAATAAGTGCATCAGTCATAAGGAGTAGTACTTTCAAGAGGACTACTTTTTATCAACGTACGTCTTTTCAATCATACCAATTAAGTGTTCATCGGAAGCACTCATTCCTACTTTGAAATACTTAAGAATGTTGATCAGTTACTAATTTCACTAGAATTCATACGAAGGAAATCTCTTTTGATAAAATTGACAAACAATGTAATGTGTGAAAATATTCAGTTTTACTCAAACTGCCATTAAGTTCAAACTGTAACCATAATATTCTTGTTCACTACACTATCATCCTGAAGGTACTGTAATTTGAATATGATTATTAGGTATCGGTTATAGATAGATGAGTGTAGAATGGAATTCAAATGACTTTTGCATTGAATGAGTGTAATGGAACATAATGCATAAACTAGGCTCAACAAGTATTTCACTATTTCGGGGATGGGAAATAAATAGTGATTGAAATAAATAAGTCACTTGGATTGCATTATGTGTTTGAAATGTGAATCTCAGTTAGTGTGTTTGTACCAACAGTGAGACGCATCTAAATAATAGTTTCCGGTCAGGTTGAAGTGAATGTCCAATGTTAGTTACTGTTCGAATGACGGTTTAAAATGTATTCGAGTAATGTTGAACAATACTTTTGCTATATCTCGACGATAATATTAAGTGGTAACTGTTCGGATCTATTTATGGGTCAATAATATACATATACTTTTATTGTATAATTGTTAAGTAGCTGAACTGTGTACATTCATTCTCTTGTTTTATGTCCAGTCTATTAATTACAGTCTTCCTTATTCACAGCCACATTCGGATAGATCTTGTACAAATGTTATTTTCTATTTTGTGGTGGGTTTGGTTTGCATATAAACCCAATGTGTTTAAAATACATGATTCATATCGTAGAGGCTGAGATTGGTGTTCTGGACTCAACAGGTAGGGCTAAGCAGGAAGAGGGACAGATAAGGAGTCTAGACTGCTTGTACGGGTTTACGTGTCATTGGTTCGGTCGATAAATCACTGTTCTCTAATTGGTGGTATCATTCCGCCATATATTAATAGGACACAAGGCAACGAGTTATAACGAATTTCCAAATAAAATCACAATAGTTTATCCCATCCTGTTTATCACTTCTTCAAGTTCAATATTTCACATACTTTTCTTCTTACAAATGTCACTGTAATCCAAGATAGGTAATTGTTGAATGAAATATTTCAAGAACAGTTATTATATTACATTCTTACATCTTTATCGGAAAATATTCGTAATGAGACGTTTCAACAACTTTAAGATTATTTACTAGTTAATTTAAATAAACCTTATTGATAAGAAAATATTAGTAAACTAGTCTAATTTGTTTAACAGCGTTCTATTGAGAGAGACCCACACTTATTGTGAATTAACTCACAGATGGGTAAAACAGTTTTTATAAATATTTTGTAATAAAATGTTTTCTATATACACTTAGTTTGCAAATAAATGGGATAAACTTTTGCAACATATGTTCTGCTGTTATTGATACTGGAACATCTTTAATTATTGGACCAAATGAACAAGTGAAAAGAATCAATTCTTTACTTCATGCTTTTGACATTTTTGGAAGAAAATTCATTGACTGTGGTCGAATCGATATGCTTCCTTCGATTGAATTCATATTTCATAGGAAAAAGTACATTCTGAAACCACAACACTATGTAGTCAAGGTGCATACAAGTAATCCATTTTGTCTTAAACAATGCTAGTCACTGTACCAGTTATGAGATAGACATGTTTGATACAGAATTGTTTGTTAAAATTATGAAGTTCCAGTCAGTTTGAAGTTGTAATAGGTAAGATTGTTTTGAAAAGGTACATCTCAATGAACAGGTCAATTTAATTCATATGAAACCTTTATATAAAATTATTGGTGTATTTCATAACCGAAATCACGCAATCTACACTAAACTTTAGAGTTAGCGATTGACATATTTATACCACAGTAAATTCCCACGTCCGTTTGTTAGCTGGCTAACGTAGATGGACGAATAACACTATCATAATATTTCTTTTTTAGGACACATGTAGAGGTAATTTCTCAAAAATACAGCTATATGGGAATAAGAAAATGTTAATACAAATTTAATAGTAGTTTAGTCAAAAAGAACACGAGTGGGGATAATCGAATGTATTAGAACATAAAATTACAGAACAAGTTATTAAAATCTAAGAACCATACTGTAAATACTTCATTTGCAAAATATCAGTCAATCGTCTCAGACTTTATTGTTCCTTCGTTTCCACACCAATCAGTCTCTGTTCTCATTCTCCTTTCTCCAATTTTCCTAACATTCTGCTGCCAGGTATTTCACTTTCGATTGATGACACATACTACTTATATCTATCTACATCAGTAGCACACACCACAATAGTACTTAAACCATTAGTGGATTAAGCTCATCATCGTTTACTGTGAATAGAAAATTAAAACATAGAATTTTCTGTGAATTGTATAAAATATTCGTATTAAGAAAATTTAGGAGTAAAGAATGAGCTAAATAGACCACATCATTTTTAATGTTTAGTAAGCTGAGAGTGAGGAAGATTTTGTTACAAATAACTGTTTTAAATAAAGTATATATGATGAAAAACGATCCACTGTGTGCATTACTAACTTAATGCAATCATTTAAAACATTAATGCTTATTAAATTCTAAGTTTAAACTGATGTCAACATAATCCATGTGAAGTAATGTGAAGAAAGGCGATCTCAGAGAAAACATGAATCATTAGTTTCTTATTGAGTGATGCATATTACAATTTGTAATCAACAACTAACCAGATCAAGGAAATGATTGCTGATCTTTGAACAATCTTTCAGACGGTCACTATTCAAACGAACAAGATGGAAACAATTTGCTTCCATACTAATGTATTTTTTGTTCAATTACAGGAGACCGAATTATTTAAAACAATTTGTTTGTCACCTTTTCAATCTCGTCTTTCGTTACCTTCTAACTATTGGGTTCTTGGTGACGTTTTTATGGGAAAATTCTATACTGTATTCGATTTCGGTCAGAGAAGAATTGGATTGGCTGATGCTGTGGGAGCATAGAGATGAGCTCATTGGCGAAAATGAATGGTTGTATGCAATAAAAAGAGAAATAAATAAACAAATTGTATCGTGGAAATAATTAAGGAGTATGTGTCAATATATACACATTGTGAAGTTGGTGTAAGAAAAAAAGGTGTATGTGTGGACCAGATGTTTAGTGTTGAATTTTTTTGTAAGGCGCCACTTATCAATTATCTTGATAGGACATTTTTGTTACAAGGATTATGATAATTTGAGGTAGCAGTTGGGAACCATTAATTTTCGATAGGAGGATTGCGATATCCTACTGAAGTATAAATAGTGTATCGCGGGGCGATTCTAGTGACATTACAGATTATTCGTAATTATTCACAACTAGAGAAGAAAAAAAGGAAACAACGAACATAGAACAACAATAAAAAGAATTAGTGTGATAGACCTGTCGTTGCGCATGTGTTGTTGTTGTCTTATGACCTACTGGTTTAAATGGATATTATTCAGATTAATCAAGTCAACTGTTGACAATGTAACTGTAGAATATCTATAAGGAGAGAGGTTTAGTAAACATGTTAAGTAAAAATAATGACTAAGCACTGTATGTTCTTAAAATTTCATCGGTGGAACAAAAAGTAGTTACAAGTTTGATTATTTTTAAAGGGAGGATCGAGCTACAGGTAATAATAAATCAGAAAATAGTGGTATTGATTTAACTTCATTCACAGATTAACAAATTATTCAAAAGTTCCGAAAACTTACAAGTAATTCATAAGAAGTAAGAGTAAGGATGAGACGGTTTTATTTTTGGTAAAGTTATGCGTGATAAAATTAAGGAGATCTACTTACTTAATAGCACCAATGTATGCAAACGACGGTTTATTTAGTATTGTGAAGACGAAAATTATGTTTAGTTGGACTCTCCACTTTCATAAAGGGTTGGGTTCAAGTATACTGGATCTGAATTTGTAGTTTATAGTAGAACCATCCCTAGGTATGCATAGTGTTAATCACAGAAGGATTTATTTCAATCTATGTTTATGATTAGTGTTGACGCCATTCAGAATAAAAGGGCATCATTCTAGGCGTGGTCGGGTACATAATTCGTGGATTAAAAGGTGAATCATATTTATAGAAGTTACGTTGTATGAAATACAGAAATCATTTAGATTCAGAAGTCGATGTCCAGACCTATCCTGAAAAGAACAAATTGTGGAAATACTTGGGTCTTAAATTCACAACTGCATGAAACCTAGATAACGCCTCACTATTTATTGTAAAGTCAAAATAAAGTGGATGATTAATGAGGCGAATCTATCCACATTTATCACTGTTAAGATCAAAATCCCATTTTCGGAACTGCAGGGAAACTGTTGAGTTCAATACTTATACAGTCATGTATATGGTTGGACTCACAACGAGAAAGTAAATACACTACATCAAGATTGTCCAAATACAGAGAAGGTGTAAGCATACAAGACCAATCACAAATCAAACTCGTATGAATATTAGTTGGACATTTCACCTCTAACAGAAATAGGCTCATTAAATCCTGACTCAAATGTCAGTGTTAACTATCGCTTATAGAATCTGTTTGATGAATTCGTACTATTACAAATTCAAGAGTGAAGATAAATATATTTGCCTACTTATTGACACCTGTGACCCCTCGTAAATCATAGGCTGCCAATCACAGTTTTGGATCTACTGTCCAGTTGTTTCCAAGTGTTAATTATTCTTTCGTTGTCTGCATCCAATTCTTTGTGCAATATGTTCTTTGGTTTGCCTCTTCTCCCTGAATCTTCAGAATTCGCAGTTCAGTTTTGCCTCATGATGTAGTTTTACGATTACTGAAATGTATGTATGGTGTTTACACAAAACGATTAGACTTTTGGTTAGATGACGATTCAACGACTAAAGCAGATATGGATGCCAGCAACAATGGGACATATCACACTTAGACGCTCAGAATACAAATTATCAGGGTATATTTATAGGAATATTCGTCAATATTAGAGCGAATACTTTGACAGAAGTTGGGCGCCGGGTATATAGAAGACATCATTTGTATATCTTCTGATAGGACGGTACATAAATGTATCAAAATCATAGCACGCAAGCAAAGGTATAAAAGATCCATAATACCTTACCTAGCAAATATACTCTGTGACGAACAGGCTGTTGGAGATAACCTAGTCAATAACCTGTATTCTTATACATGGGGATGCCAATCACTAACATCCATCGACGTCTTGGACGGTGGGCAGAATTTTTCGAAGGGCAGTTCAACTGGCCTGCTGCTCCGGCAACATCGGTCAGACTGTCCTGCCCTCCATGGCCGGTGACGACTGATCCACCAAACGAGGAGGAAGTCCGCAGGGAACTCCAACTCTTGAAGCGTAACAAATCACCTGGCCAAGATGACTTACCTCCGGCTCTTTTTAAAGATGGTGGTGACTTTTTGACTAAGGAATTGACGACGTTGTTTACAAAGGTTTGGGAATTAGAGAGTGTGCCGACGTCATAGAATGAGTCGATAGTTGTCCTTATCTTTAAAAAGGGTTCACGTCGTTCCTGTAACAACTATCGGGGGATAAGTCTACTTCCGATTGCGTCCAAGCTATTGGCTTCCGTCATACTTCGTAGGTTGTTCAAAACCCGAGAAAGTTTGACTCGCGAGGAGCAGGCTGGCTTTCGTTCTGGTCGAGGATGTATTGATCATATCTTCACCCTCCGCCAAATGTTAGAACACCGCCATACTTATCAAAGGCCAACAATTGTAGTTTTTCTTGACATCAGGGCTGCCTTCGATTCGTTGGATAGGACTGTTCTCTGGGATTGTCTAATGAAGAAGGGTGTGCCTGAGAAGTTTATTAACATCCTAAAAGCCCTATATAAAAACACCTCAGGCAGAGTGAGGGCATACAACCACCTCTCTCCATTGTTCCATTCGAGCAGTGGGGTTAGGCAGGGTTGCCCAATCTCACCATTCCTCTTCAACTTTGCCATCGATGACATTCTGGAAACAGCTCTGATGAATGTAAGTAATGGTGGTGTGGATCTGTTGCCTGGAGAAAGACTTTTCGACCTTGAGTATGCGGACGATATTGTCTTACTGTGCGATAATGCCCAAGGCATGCAGTCCACGCTTAATCAGTTGGCAATCAGTGTCCGTAGGTACGGTATTTGCTTTGCACCTTCGAAGTGCAAAGTACTCCTACAAGACTGGCAGGATCCTAATCCTGTACTCACCCTGGATGGTGAGCAGATAGACGTAGTCGAGAAATTCGTGTATCTGGGTAGCTGCATAAGTGCTGGTGGGGGTGTGAGTGATGAGATCAATGAACGTATAGTGAAAGCCAGAGCGGCTTATGCCAATCTGGGCCATCTATGGCGCCTTCGTGATGTTAGTCTGGCCGTAAAAGGTCGGATCTACAACGCGTCGGTGAGAGCAGTTTTGCTCTATGCTTGTGAAACCTGGCCTCTCCGAGTTGAGGACGTTAGACGACTCTCTGTGTTCGATCATCGCTGTCTCCGAAGGATTGCTGACATTCAGTGGCAACACCATGTCAGTAATGCAGAGGTTCGGCATCGTGTGTTCGGGCACAGAGATGATAATTCAATTGGTGTCACCATCTTGAAACACCGACTTCGGTGGCTTGGACATGTTCTACGAATGTCGTCCCAGAGAATTCCACGTCGTGCATTATTTGCCGACTCTGGGACTGGTTGGAAGAAGCGGAGAGGTGATCAGTGCATGACATGGTGTCGTGGTATGAAATTAAGCTGCAAAGGACTGGCTTGTGTTGGTCCTTCACGACTCCCTGGTTGGGGTCTGAGAGATGGTGCTACACAGTGGCTAGAGACGTTATCAGATATGGCTCAGAATAGAAGCCAGTGGCGATCCTGCTGTAACCTTCTTTTACTTTCTTCATAAAAAGTGGTTCTGTCTCCCTTACCTGAAAGATTTCTTCCGATTGTACCTTTGCGTTCCCTGATTACTAGCACATTACCTTACACCAATCTCTTCGTTATTGTTCTCTCTTTTTTTTGTTGCGCTCCTTAGCTTTTTTTTCTTTCTTTGTATTCCTCTCGAATTTTCATTGTTCTGTGTGGCGCATTTATATTGGCGCTCTCCTGTACCAATATTCATGTGTCCAAATAATAATAATAATAATAATAATAATAATAATAATAATTCTTATACATGTCTCTAGTTGAAAAGTTGTATAGATTCACGTAATTTTTCACCTTTTCCTTTTTTGTTTTGTAAAAGAAACTTGTGCTGTGAATTCTATACTGTACCAAAACAAAATATTGAATAAAGCCATTAATAATAATAAAATAATCCTAGCGATTGAAACTTAAATAATTCCAACGTTACGTCCATTAAACTTGTCTGAACCTCTTCTGGGTAATAATCAAAATCAAAAGTTTCAAAGAATATATAATGTTTAACAATCAAAGCAAAACTTCATTGTGTTTATCCAATCATATTTAGATGTTGATTTTAGTAAGTAGGATAACATGAGTCAGTTATATGCGGATTATGTGAAAAGTCCATAATCTGAAGATAACTAAATAAATTGTTTGTTTTTGTATGTTTAGGTTTCAGGTTTTGGCACATAAAATAATGATTGATAGCAGAAGCGCCGGGTTAATAAGAGTTAATAAGAGTTCTAGTGAGTAGTCGTGACCAGTAGAGCTATTCCAAGTCAGATTGAAACAGGTATCTACCTCAGTAGAATGGCAGATGGTGGCGCGATTTCGTAGATTGGTTGAAGTTGGACAATAACACCGCTGGATACCTGCTCAGTGGTCTAGAGGTTAAGCGTTCGTGTGCTAGACTGAAGGACCTGCGTTCGAGTCCCGCGGGTGGGATCGGGGATGTGCACTGCTGAGAGTACTCATACTAGGACAAAATGGCCATCCAGTGCTTCCAGGTTTTTAATTGTGGTCTGAAGTTAATCGATTCATGATCTCAATCAAAAACGAATAAGAACAGCCTGAATAGAAACGGTATTCAACTAGCTACCACATGGCAAATGTTCATTCACAAGTAATCGGACTCTTTCTCTTTCCAACCTGTTTATTTCATATGCATCGTTATTCTGACAGAAATTAATCTGGGTTATTTTAGCAATACAATTATGTATTTGATGGTTCTCACTTTACATGCACATTGACTACTCACAAAAATTTCAACCTTCAACTTGCACTTTTTATAAAACAAATTAACACCGAAAATTAACTATTAATAACTCAATCTTACACATACATACACATAATTCATTCAGTCATTTATTTTGATATTGTGAACTTTCACATAATCCTCATATAGCTGACTCATGTTATTGTACTTACTAAAGTCAACATCTGAATACGATTGAATAGCACAGTATAGACTTGATTTGATTGTTAAACACTATACATTTCTTTAATGATTTTCACTTTGGTTATTACCCTGAAGA